GAAACCGAGTACCCGCCCCGCCCCGGCCCGCGGGCAGGGAGTGGCGGAGCCGGCGCACCTGCTCTACTCCACAAGTAGCGTTACCTTCTCTTAAAGCGATAGGGGTTGCAAACGAGCTGTGTAGTCCTATAGCTCCAGAAATGACTCGGATAAATTAACTCTGTGATCGTAATGGTTCTCCAAATCTGTATAGGGAGAATATAAAATGTGTAACTGTTTTAAAAGATTTTTAAAACCCCAATAAAATATGACTTTTTTTTTTTTTTTTTTAAATAAAAGATGACCGGTAAGGGGATCTTAACCCTTGACTTGGTGTTGTCAGCACCACGCTCACCCAGTGAGCAAACCGGCCATCCCTATATGGGATCCGAACCCGTGGCCTTGGTGTTATCAGCACCACACTCTCCCGAGTGAGCCACAGGCCGGCCCTGACTTTTTTTTTTAATAAGAAAGTTTTGATTTGTCTCACTTAACTTTTGCAAAGAGACAAAGAGTGTAATTCTTAAAGTTACACTGTAACTCACATATTTTCAGACCAGAGGAAGGTGAGGCAACAGGCTTTACACTGCCACTAAGAGCACTGAGGTCTTCTAAATCTGGAGACACCCCCCGCCCCCCCCCACACCTTCCACCTTCCCTGCAGTGGTGTGAACCAGTGTGAGTGCCATTCTTAAGTAGCAGCGGTAGGAAGTAAAAGCGCCCAGATCTCTCTGCACGTACAAATAGCCACGACACATCTGCTACAGCTGATCAGCTGTTTCAGCACCAACCCGGACAAAGTGGAATTTGTCCCATCCTCTGAATCATGGTCATTCTCACAGACTGGTGCCCAGGGCTCTGCCTTACTTGGCCTTTGCCAGACATTCTGGTAGGAATGTGTTGGGCCACAGAGCCCATACACAATTACATGGCATTTACAAATCTGATGTTTCTAGCAAAAGGCACAGCCAAATGGTGGCTGAGGGGCAACACAGTACCACTGAGCCACTTAGAATTCCAGGCAAAAAGCGTATTTTTAAATCCAGCTTTATAATTGACCACTTTTGGAGTAGGAAAATCCTTTTCTGGAAAATACCCCGGTTCTAGTTCCCCAGAGTCTAAATCTAAGATTCCATCTCCAGGGCGCTACTGCTGATCTTTGTGCCATACCATTAGGGAGAGGAATGATCTCTCAGGTAACTGGGCCCTGAGGGATAGAGTGTATTCTAGGTCAAATGCAGTGCCTGAAATTGCACCAGGCATGAGAAGGCCCTGCGGAGAATCCAAGATGCTGAAGACCTGACTGAGGTTCCCTTCAAGCGGGATGCTTCTTATTCGGTTGTATCCTCTGCACCTAGCACAGCAAATACACAGATGATTTGCACAATAGATATTAGTAGAGTGACTGCATGAATTTATAGAAAGAACATTCTATGACAGGAAGAATGCTACATTCTGTGCTAACAAATGTTTCCATGAAAACAGAAATTATGAGACTTTTCCTGTTAGGTTCTAAAAAGAAATAACTACTAATGGTTTCCTTATTAATACACTTACTCAAAACCATTTAGAGTCTCTTTAAAGTTTCTGCCTGAACCATCTCTGGAAAGTAGTAAGCGATGCACAATGAGCGGAAGGAGTGTACAAGTAGGAGGTCACAGGATGAGCTTTCATATCCAGGCTCTGCTAATTACTGGCCCCATGATCCTGGCAAATTACTTAATACACAGGATTAACGTGAGGATTAGATGAGATCACGTATTATACTGGGCTTTGTATACAATATTGTTCTCAGGAGTCTCTAATCGCCTAAGTCTAGCAAATCATCTCTCAGGATGTAGATTTTAATATTACCTGCTCTATCATAATCACTGCACCTGTCAGGGTGCAGACACCATTGTTAAGAGTTCAGCGTTTTGACCTAGACAGAGCTGTCCTTAGGCATGTTATTTAACCTCCCTGCCCCTCATGTTTATCGTCTGTAAAACAGAGATGATAATGATCTCTAGAATTCAGTGTTGTTGCAAGGAATAAATAAAAACATGCGTGTCCACGTGTCCAGTGCACTCAATAGACAACATTCTGCTAGTATCCTTCCTGTTTCTTCTAGTCGCTCATGTTTTCTGGCTTAATGCTGAACTTTTAAGTTTAGCTACTCAACTCTCCCTAAAATTAGACTTCTTCAGAATATAGTCCTTAGACCACTGGCATCAGAATGAGCTGTTGGCCTATCGGAAATGTGATTTCTCCTTCAATGCTATCTCAGAGATTTACTCCCATTGTATAACCCAAGCCCTTCTCAACAGCTTCATAATTTCAATTTCAAGCATTCTACTCTCCGAATATCCCCTCCTAAATGGTCAGCTCACTCCCTCACGTACCCCTGGACCTGGATTCGACTTCATTTTCATGTCCCTTAACTCCTTTGCACCCTCACCTTTCTTCCACAGTGTGAATTCCGTGCTCACAAGCACCCCTCGCATGCAT